TAATAACTGTTTATAGCAAAAACATAGAGCCGTCAAAACCATAGAACAGAGTGTAATTACCACAAAAATCCCAAGGCTGTGCGCGATCGAAGCTTAAAAGAATGGAAATCAGCGCCTGTGTATCGCCATATGGTAGGCTGCCACTCGATTTATTCCAGTATGGCCTTGCGCGAGCAAATAGGGCACTCCGTGGTAGCCGCGCGCACGGCATGCTTAAGACGTGACCTAATCACCTCAGTTGGCCCAGCGCTATTAGCCTGTCGAGAGGGAGACGCGACGTTTAACATCAACGTTGCAAAGATGGTATTCCCACCACACTCCGAGCTTTCCCCCACAGACAACTGTTGTCGAAGGGCGAAATCTGACGCAAATCATTTGCACGGATCGGCCACTCACTTCCATGCAACAGGATCGCGCGAACACAGGCCCTGTAGGTAAACCATGCCCTTTACCGAGAGTGTCGTGAGTTAAGACGACTCCACCATGTCTCAGATCAACGAAAGCTGATCGAGATTTAGCAATACAAAGAGAAATCTCTCTTCGAATAGTGCTAGGAGAAGAAACGCAGATGCAAAGGTAAATGAAGCCATCTACTTGTTCATGCTGCACACCTTCACGAATTAGCACTGGGACAGGTGGATGCCTTTCCTGCAGTAGGACTTTGCATTTGGATAGGGCGATGCTCATGACATACATAGTAGTTTTAATCGCCAAGAGATTTAAAATGCCTTGCATACTCTGTGAGCTGTCACCGAATGTGACAATATCATCAGCATAGTTCAACTCTGTCGCGCAATCACCAGGATGAAGCTCTACGTCAGAACGCTGGATACCTTCTAGAACGCTTACTAAGACTACTTGAATCGCCAATTGTACAGAAGCAGGGACGTGGTGCATATGTGTCCTATACGGTTTAATGACGAGGAAATGTGAACGGAGTTTACCGCATACCCTCACTCTGCCCGAGAGATTGATGTATAATGGTTCAGTTAAAGTTGGAATGGACGATGAAACGAATTCGTTACATTGTTAGTTGCCCCTCATTGTTGAGCCTGGAATGTAGCTTGATCAATAAGTGGAACAGTATAAAAGCTATTGTATGGGACCGGTTTGAAGCGAATCGTAATAAATTATACTTCATCTCTATGCACTCAAAGTGGCGTTTGCATAAACACCAATGTAAATACGCATTAATAGTGAGCCTGGTGCGCACAAGTTGTGTCTCAGATTGACTCCCAATGAACACGGGTTATAGCACGTAAAGTAATTGGCTTACTTTATCGTCAACTCATGTTTAATTGCAGATGACGTAGGCTCAGAAATGGCATGAGCGAGAGATAAACGTTCCATAGCTGACAGATTTTGAGGGGGACATATACCGGCAATATTCTATGCTAGGGTTCGCTCATCCCACCCACTTCTTGTCTGGAGAAACTACAGGCCCTGGCTCGCAACTAGCATCCAACTTGTCTTCTGTTTGGTTAGCCCGCTGTTTTCATTGTGTCCGGCGCTGAGTTAACTGTCAAATAACGCCGATTACGACAGGTGACGGTGCAAGCCACAGCAAATGTGACTTACGATCAGCAGCTACCGTAGTCCTCTAGTGTTGATCAAACGCTGTGTCCTGATCCAGCTTGAATGCTTAAACATTTTGTCTTTTATACTTCCATAACCTTTGAACGTCTGTCATGCAGTAAGTACACTATAGCTACGCAACATCGCCGTTGTTTATTGGCCCGGGAGAAAAGCTACTTAATCCAACAGACTGAGTCCGGTGATCTTTTAATGGCGTATTCATTTCATGTTCGATTTGTAAAACCCACGTTTGAAACGACTGTTAACAATTGTCAGACTAGGGAGATGTTACATAGTGCGGTATTTGTCGGGCTTGTTGCTTGCATCAGAAATTCATTTCCTCTTCCTCATTACAGCACGATGTATGTTCAACCGTTCACCATCAAGGTCAATCAGAGCTGGTGACGAATCCATCCAACCCCACTGAGCGTCCCCAAGATAGTTTGGCTAAGGTAAAACAGGAACACCAAACCAAACGTTCCATTTTTGACGCTTCACCCTCGCTGGACAAACGATCCATGGATTTTCGACGAGCAAAAGATGACACATCCCACCAGTCGTCCTGCAAATCTTCCAGCTCAATTCCAACCCTCCCCGGACTGGTGTATGCGCCGGAGACGCATCCAAAGCGGGTGCATCCCAAATACACCCAACCACGAGATTTCCATGACGAAAATGATTCCGAGCTTGAGGAATTCCAAGCTTGATGTAATCAACTAATTCCTCGTCTTCTGCCTTCTATTTTTCGTGTTTTTCTCATGTCTGATGCAAAATGTTCCGGGTATCTGATAAAATCACGCAACCTCACTAATTCAATGGTATATATACAGAACGGAATAATGGAGCAAAACTTCTTGTGATGAATTCTAGAGGAACATGTAAATGAGAAACTGTTTATCGCGGTGTCAGTGTGTAACTTTTATCGAGCGAAAAATCCGCGGGTTCAGCTGTATATGTAGGCAACGACAATAGCTAAAATAATTAACAATAATAATAATAGCAATATTAATAACATATATCCTCGGATTCATGAGACATCCATTTTTCGTCATGATCAAGTTTCATAATTGTTTCACATGAGATCCACAAGATAGGCTGGATGATGGGCAGAAAGGGAAGTCATATTGTTATCCATAAGGTTTCTCCATTTGTAAGCTCCAAATAAATAGAGAATGCTTCGTAACATCTTAATGGAGAGCTCTGTATACGGACGCGAATAGATTCCCTTTCTTTAGTGGTGTGAGGGATGAAGAGCAGTTGTGTGATAATGAGCGAAACCTTCAAAAATATGGAACATAGCCTGTAATCTACGCAAAATATCTTCCTATACATTATGGTGTGAAGAATGAAAGTATTGATTTACTTTCGGCTCAGCATCTGTACCTGAAGACCTGGACAACCAGAAGGAGAGATTGGTTAGCTGTGTGTGAGGCGGACGTGTTTGGCATTACTCAACCATATCAGGCGTTTTGGTTTGTCTGTACGCTAAGCATATGCGAGTAAAGGGAAAGTGGATTTAGAATGCCACAAATATGGATGCAAATTTAGGAGGCAGAATCAGTTAGCTTGTCTGTGCCGTCCGACATGTTTTCACGAGGGCGATAAGACGTGACTAAGTAAGCAGCATATGAAGGGTGGAGACGAAAATGCTTTAACCGATCTCAGTTACCGATTCCTTTAAAGACCACACTTATTGGTACGCCTGTGAGGTATGATTTCCCGTAGCAAAGACGCAAAGAGGGCCGGGTGAGGAACAGTGAACGAGATGCCGTCAGCTTTTCCTCTTCCTTCTTAATGCACTTCCTCTGGAGGGTCTGGCCTTTGAAAACCACTGTACGTAGAACATTTCGAGCTTACTAGTAATTTGCAAACAGTCACGTATGCACTTGAGTATCGATTCGTAAACACAGGCTCTCACATGATTGGCTGAGAATGACCTCGCCTTACTTTCCTTATTTTATTGGTTTTCCTTGCCGGCTTTTCTAACCACTGTTACGCAGGATGCTTTTAGTAAATCGGTTCCATACTACGCGTGCGCGTTCTGTTCCGTTCATTGGCTAAGGGCCATACTTAACGCAAACCTGTCCGGACCCTTCCTTAAATAGCATTTTTCCATTGCAATTCAAATTCAACATTGTTTTTGCGTACTATACTGTCGGACCTTTGAAAAACTGCATCTCTGAACGTCTGTTGCGATTCACAAACTCTTGTTTCAACAAGGAGGCGGTTCCAGATTTCAGTGTTTAGGTAGCAGGTTCTTCGACATAAGTTTTCGTTTTACACACAGAGAGTAGAAAATTAGTTTTCCTGGTTGCGTAGCTACCTTCTTGTTTTGGCTGACTAGTGATACTTGGCGCAAACGCACTCTTATGAACCAAGTCAAATAGGAATGTTAATCCCGGATTACATGTGCACTAGCCATAGAGGCTCCAGTTGTAGCATCGTACATCGCTCAAACTAGTTAACTTTTAACGATAGGTTAAAGAGGGCCTTTATGAGTGAAAGCTACACGTTTTCTAAGCACATGTGATCGTTAATCCTGTAGCTTGTAGGAATAATAGAGCAGTACCCTAACACAGGGCGAATGCAGACCTTAAGCAAGTGCAGCTTAGGTTCATTCATCGAGAATGATTTTAATTTGCATTTTGAACTTCCTTGTGCTCTGGATGTTATAGATTCAACTAACCCACAAAGATTCAGCTCTAGCTTAATAGATGCCTAGATCATGTATGGTATCGTTACAGGGGATTGGTTAACCGCCAAAGTAAAAAGCATTCGGAAAGGTACACACTTGCAAAACAACGCAGAGTATTTATCCGCCGAGAAGGACATTTGTCAACCGATTCAACGTCAGTAGGTCTATGCTAGGGGTATCCAAACGTTTTGCAAAGAGGACCACATTTTGTGGGGCAAAAATATGTCAGACTCATTGTTAGTAGGACATCAAAATAATAGCAAAAAGTTACATATGTTATAAATATTTTGCTGCAAGTTTTTCATGTGAAGGGTGAAACCGAGATCTTGACTGCAGTAAGCTGGTCAGGTCGAGCTCAAAGACATTGGTTTTGATGCGTAAGAAATCAGGTAAGTGAGAATCACAGTCTCGTCCACCCACGATTCTTGTTAAAATTCAAAACCGAGTATGTCTACTCACACAAGTATATCGAGTCAAACAAGCTAAGCATTGTCTTAGCAAATCTGCGAATCTCTTGTAATCTGTCTTTATCCAGTTGGCAGTAAAAATCGATAAGTGGGGCTCTCGGTGTCGACTGCGACATCAAACATTCTTTAAGAGTCAATGAGCTTCCGTTCCAAGTGGACTGGAGCCTAGTCAGGGTCCACAGAGAAAGAAGAAAAATGCCTGAATTCCCTTTCAGTGTCTGCAAAGTCCTGAAAACGCCTTTGAAACCCATCAGCCAAGGATACAGTATCGGCGACATACTTTTGCATTTGTGTATTGATGTTACTTTCTG